TTCTTGGTGTCTGTCTGTTCTTGGTGTCTGTCTTTCTCTTGGCGTCTGTCTGTTCTTGGTGTCTGTCTGTTCTTGGTGTCTGTCTGTTCTTGATGTCTGTCTGTTCTTGGTGTCTGTCTGTTCTTGGTGTCTGTCTGTTCTTGATGTCTGTCTGTTCTTGGTGTCTGTCTGTTCTTGGTGTCTGTCTGTTCTTGGTGTCTGTCTGTTCTTGGTGTCTGTCTGTTCTTGATGTCTGTCTGTTCTTGGTGTCTGTCTGTTCTTGGTGTCTGTCTGTTCTTGATGTCTGTCTGTTCTTGGTGTCTGTCTGTTCTTGGTGTCTGTTGTTCTTGATGTCTGTCTGTTCTTGGTGTCTGTCTGTTCTTGGTGTCTGCTGTTCTTGGTGTCTGTCTGTTCTTGGTGTCTGTCTGTTCTTGGTGTCTGTCTGTTCTTGTGTCTGTCTGTTCTTGTGTCTGTCTGTTCTTGGTGTCTGTCTGTTCTTGGTGTCTGTCTGTTCTTGGTGTCTGTCTGTTCTTGGTGTCTGTCTGTTCTTATGTCTGTCTGTTCTTGGTGTCTGTCTGTTCTTGATGTCTGTCTGTTCTTGGTGTCTGTCTGTTCTTGGTGTCTGTCTGTTCTTGGTGTCTGTCTGTTCTTGGTGTCTGTCTGTTCTTGGTGTCTGCTGTTCTTGGTGTCTGCTGTTCTTGGTGTCTGTCTGTTCTTGGTGTCTGTCTGTTCTTGGTGTCTGTCTGTTCTTGGTGTCTGTCTGTTTCTTGGTGTCGGCTGTTCTTGGTGTCTGTCTGTTCTGTGTCTGTCTGTTCTTGTGTCTGTCTGTTCTTGGTGTCTGTCTGTTCTTGGTGTCTGCCTGTTCTTGATGTCTGTCTGTTCTTGATGTCTGTCTGTTCTTGGTGTCTGTCTGTTCTTGGTGTCTGTCTGTTCTTGGTGTCTGTCTGTTCTTGGTGTCTGTCTGTTCTTGGTGTCTGTCTGTTCTTGGTGTCTGTCTGTTCTTGGTGTCTGCTGTTCTTGGTGTCTGCCTGTCTTGGTGTCTGTCTGTTCTTGGTGTCTGTCTGTTCTTGGTGTCTGTCTGTTCTTGGTGTCTGTCTGTTCTTGATGTCTGTCTGTTCTTGATGTCTGTCTGTTCTTGGCGTCTGTCTGTTCTTGGTGTCTGTCTGTTTCTTGGTGTCTGCTGTTCTTGGTGTCTGTCTGTTTTGGTGTCTGTCTGTTCTTGGTGTCTGTCTGTTCTTGGTGTCTGTCTGTTCTTGATGTCTGTCTGTTCTTGGTGTCTGTCTGTTCTTGGTGTCTGTCTGTTCTTGGTGTCTGTCTGTTCTTGG